ACAAGTAAAGATTTTATATTCGTATAATGGCATAAAAACCTTGAGGATGATATTTGACAGTGCCAATCTTGTGAAAATATATCAACTAATCTTTCCTTAAGCATGAAGATAAATAGTTTATCATTTCCAACATCTTGAGATATCCATGCAAGAGAAAAACCAAACATAAAAAGAATATTTATGATATCAGACACCCATAAACAATATTTACCCTTTTCATCCAAGGCTTTTAACATATTATAACAATGAAGAGGAAATCTATTTGAATTCATACGAAGTAGCTTTATCCAATATTTAACTGCCCGTAGCTGGGATGCAACAAAAAGACTGGTACGACCAGTTTCTCCTAGAATGGCTTTGTTAGAGGCATATTCACCGACACCTAAAAAACGTTTAAAGTACATGGCATGAATTTTTTCTATGGAATCATTATAATGACATCCCCATATTTCTGAACCATACAGCAGAATTGGTGCTATTTTTCTGTCAAAAATGTCCGAAACAACTCGGAAAGATATAAATTTGTTTTCTTTGAAAACTCTATAGACAGGAATCAAGGCTTTAGATGCTTGCAGAGCCAACTGCTTACAAGCTGTTGACCATGCTAATCGAGAAGATACAGTCAATCCTAAATATTTATAATATGAAACAATATTGACTGTCTTATTACAATACGTCCATTTTTCAAATTTATTTAGAATACCACCTTTTCTGAAAACAATAACATTTGTCTTTTTCAAATTTACTTCAAGGCCCCATTTCTCACAATATAGCTGGAGAACATTTAACTGTTTCTGGAGGCCACTAACTGAAAATGAGAATAAAGCAATATCATCAGCAAATAGTAACAGCATTATATCAATTATATCTTGTGACACAAAAACTCCGTAATCACATTCATGATACATTTCAGTTACAAGTTCATTTATGAAAAATATAAATAGGACAGGGATGAGTACACAGCCCTGTCTTACACCAGCTGAAGTTCTGAAACATTCAGTGATTCCTTTATCTGTCTTGATACATGCCTTAACTGATGAGTACATGCTCTGTAGAACCTTTGACAATTTCCCTGTTAATCCTTTAGTAATTAATAAAAACATCATTTTCTTTCTATCCACATAGTCAAAAGCATTTTTGAAATCGATAAAGGCACAATAAAAACGGCCCTTGGGTTTGATAAGATATTTTGTACACAAAGATTAAAGAATAAATATATTGTCTGATGGAGAATAGTTGGGTCTAAATCCAGCTTGGGATTCTGATAACAGGTCATTCACATCTATCCCTTGTAATCATTTTCCAAAGCTCATCTTTCTTCTGACGACATTTCATACCATTTATATTTCATGATCCCCTACTTGTTTTGAAGAGTATATATCTTATACATAGATCATGTAAATATAAAATGTCAACGCCAGATAATATCCAGTCTCGATTATCCGACGAAACATGTTCCATTGGGCCCAAAAGGCAAAATAGCTGTGAAACTTATGGGAATGGATCACTGAAAATCATTTCCTGCCTGTAACAATGCGACAACGCGAAACATGCAGTTTTAAAGATGAAAATTCCCAATTTTGATACCTTTTTGCCACCAAACCACACTTGTGATTTACATCCCGTTTATGTACGAAAAAAACCACAACCGGGGGAATACGAACCTGCGACCTCTTGATTTATATTCCTATCACCTGTGCTACAGACGTTGACGTCACATGTGTCAATATTTCTAGTCACTGTTATCTTGGCTTGTTTCATTTTTACAAGGACACGCCAGAACCCTATGATTGTGGGTTCGAATCCCGGTTCGCCCCGATTATGTTTCTAGATTTGTCAGCACCATACTCGTGCTCGTGGGTTTCACCGAAGTTGTAAACGTCTAAGACGTGCATCACTTCGGGCTTTCCTCCCACATTAAGCTGACACGCCGTGATATAACTGGAATACTGTTAAAAGCGGCGTAAAACCAACCCACTCACTCACTTATTTGTACAGTATTATGTAAATAGTGTACCAACTTCGTTGTAAGTCCTGGTGGTATATATGTGTTATGCAAGGACCTGTGACGTTACCGAAACCCAAGAAACTCTCAGGAGCCTAGCATCCGAACACGGTCACCGATCCAATTAGGACTCCCGGTGACCAACGTGACCTGTGTAATAAGTGAAATATTGCTCAAAGCGGCGTTAAACCAAACTCGCTCACTAGCTCAAATATATAAATTGGCTGTGCAGAGTGGCGTCTCCTAGGCGTAGCAGAAAACTTCCGTTCGAATCGTCGGTTCGAATCCCAGCAACTAACACATGCATCACTTTGGGCTTTCCTCGCGCATCAAGCTGACAGGCTGTCAAATAACTGAAACAAAACGCCGTTAAACCAAACTCACTATCACTCGCTCAATCCACAAATCCCATCTATAGAGTGTTGTCCCCTATGCGTACCAGTAACCTCTGATCGTGAGATCGAATTCCCGACTCGCCCTGATTATGTGTCTTGCTTTTCACCTGCCGTATATCCTCGATTAAGTGCCCGGCCGAATATTTCGTTGAGAAAGTGGAGATCCGCGTTAGAATAGACCTTCACCAGCCCATGCTTGCTGTAAGAGGCGACTATGCTTGTCGAAAGAGGCCAATAAAGGGATCGGGTGGTCACGCTCGCTGACTTGCTTGATGCATGTCATCGTATTCCAATTGCGTAGATCGATGCTCATGATGTTAATCACTGTATTGTCTGGACTCGGTTATTTACATTTCTCCGTCATATAGCCGAAAAATTGTGCGGCGTCAAACAACAAACTAACGGACGTGCGGATGTGTAAATGAAATTGTTGTGACTGATTTCGGTCCCTGTGCGCATTCACCTATTATCAAAGATCACGTTTTGTTAAAATTTTGAAGCTAAGCAGAAATAAATAATAGCGCGACAATGCGACAACGCGATATTTTGATAAACTATCGCTTTTTGGCATTGTCGCATTATCGCGCTTTCAGTAGTTCCTGCATATTTTAAAATTTTACCAAAACATGACCCATGGTTATAGATGAATGCGCCCAGTGAACGAGGTGAGGTGAAATGGGGTTTAACGTCGCGTCCAAGATTATTGCACTGATATAGCGACGTGCATGCACGTGTGTGTGTGTGGCTGCTTGTACTAGACCGGACTGATGCCGATTTATAGTGCTAGCTCACTGAGATATCATGCCGCAGTTTAACATGAATACCCCACTCAGACACAGTATACTGACTCCGAGCCGACCAGTCCTTGTTTTAGCCCCTTAATGCCGAGCGCCAGACAGGGTTACAACAAGTACCATCTTTTAACGTCTTTTGGTATGACGCGGCCGGGGATCGAACTCCGGACCTTCCGCTCTCCGGGCGGACGCTCTACCTCTAGACCACGGAGGCGGTCCCCAGTGAACGAACTCAGTCACAACAATTACAAATGTGCTAAGTCTGTGAGTTAAAGGGTCGTCGGTTAACTGAATTTTGAAGTATCAACTCCGATTAAGTATATATGATTCAAATATAGACATTACAAATACAAATACATTGTTGTGATATTCGTGAGTGAGTATTGTTTAATGCCGCTCTGAACAGTATTTCAGTTATGGCATGTCAGCTAGATGTGAGTGAGGAAAGTCGAAAGTCATGTAGGTCCAAAAAACATAATCAGATCGAATCGGGAATTCGAACACACGCTCATAGGGTTCTGGCACGCCTAGGGGGCGCCATCTGCACATCGATTATTATTATTATTATTATTATTATTATTATTATTATTATTATTAATAGTCCATGTGCATGGCACTTTTTCCATGCCGAAAGCACATTATTACCCCTGTCACTCTCATCAGTAGCATATTTCGAACAAAGTCACTTGCCCAAAGAGACACCACATGCGTTACGTGTGCTTGAGTGTGGGGCAGGACCGAGGCCCTTGAAACTCTCAGGAGCCAAGCAGCGGTCACCCATGCAAGGACTAACGTGACCTGTGGTTTAACCCCGCTTTGAACAAAAAATCAGTTATTTCACAGCGTGTCAGCTTGTTGTGGGAGGAAATCCCTGAGTGATGTATGTGTATGGTGCTGGGATTCGACCACGCGATCATAGTTTTCTGGTACGTCTAGGACACGCACAGCGAACTTCGCCGTCTAAAACGACAGAGCCAACGGTGTGTCATTTAAAAAGAAATGTTGGAGACCTGCATTAAATTAAATAGAAATGCAAAGTGTTTATTCTTTGCTGTAAAAAAAAGGTTTGGTTTATGAAAACCGACACAGAAAAGAACGATATATGAACTTATTTCTAAAGCATCGATGAACGATTTGTTTTCATTTAGAGAAAAACAAATCACATTGCCTTGACTACTTTGGTTTTTTAAAACCCTTGAAACTAACAAAGGACCAGTGGAGTATGAAAAGGAGTATAACCATTTCGGCGCATGCGTAGATAGATTCACTTACTACGCATGCGCACCATTAATTGAAAAGTGCGACAATGCGACAATATCAAATGTCGCGTTGTTGCGCATTTTAACGCCTTTTTTGCACGTTTTTGATGGGGCGACAATAACGGGATCGGGTGGTCAGACTCGCTGAATTGGTTTATGCATGTCATCGGATCCCAATTGCCTAGATCGATGCTCATGTCAGTCACCGGATTATCTGGTCCACACTCGATTATTTACATATAAGTGGAAAAACTAACAAACTTTGAGCAGCATGCTGCTAACCGACTGCTCGGAGGCGCCACGGAACATTGCCTTACTTAATTCTACTCATCTTTGCGTTATATTCCCGTGTAATGAATCGTTCCGTTTCTATACATGGTGCCCTGTACTTATAACGGGTTTATTTTCGTATCTTTCATATAAAGTCTAAACACGCCAATGTTCACGATATCCATTTTAGTATTTTGAATTTGAAACTTTCTACATAATACTTTTTGAAGAAATAAAACAAATACCTGAATATATTATCTGAAAGAAACATACTTACTTTAAGTACACGTCAGCTGTTGTTTGTGTGGCGGAACACTGACTGCCATATACATTCGTATATATATGTGGTACATATCTATCTGCCACAGTTTACAAGTTGGTTGTGGCTATCTTATCTTGGCCTCGCCTTCTTTGATAGAGGTTCAGTATGATTATTACTCTAATCATACACGAGACCTCTCTATCGCCTCAAGTATCACTATAGTGATTTGAATACCACGTGAAATTTTCTTGTCCGTTCACATTTTGTTATGGATAACAAAGAGAATTGGTATGAGAGTTGTGTGGTATTTAGCAACACAGAATCATTATAGTATATAGATTATATACACATGCACAAAAGTTAAGCGCCACCATATTCATAGTCTCTTGATTTCACGTGTGGGAATCAGAAATACGAAATATGATGATGTATGACTGAATTAGGCTTCCATAGTTTCATGAACCCAAATTTGTCCAGATACCACAAGGAAAGCGTGCTTTACGTGTTGCTGCAGTTCCCCTACCCTGTAAATAGTGAATTCAAGTTTCAAACACGTGGTTGCATTTTGCTCCTGTGTGAGATTCCCCTTCCAATAGAGGTTAAAAATCAGCCATGGTGAGGAGAAAGTTACCGAACCCTGAAAGATGGCAAGTGATAGATAGGCATGAAAAATGCTGGCATTTCATGCAGGGCCATTGCACGACAAATTGGTCGTCATCACAGTGTTATCACTCGTTTGATTGTCAAACATGGTCAAACCAATGATGTCAATGACAGGCATAGGTCTGGTAGGCCAAGAAAGACCTCTAACAGAGAGGATAGACGTCTTTTCAGGATAGTCAGACGAATTCCATTTGCCACTTCTACAGATTTAAGACTGCAGTGGATTACCCATCAGAGACTCTCGACGATGACCGTAAGGCGTCGCCTCAGAGCGGCTGGTTATAACGCCAGACGACCAGTAAAACGTCCTCAACTGACTGAGAGGCACATGCGGAATCGTCTGATATGGTGTCGTGCCCGTAGTCGATTGAGCTTGGCCAACTGGAGAAGGATCTGTGTGTCGAATGCTGCTACGAACTGTTGATGGTCGAATACGTGTTTGTAGGCAACGTAACACTCGTTTTGCACCAAGGAACATCCAAAAGACCTTAGCATGTGGCGGGGGATCTGTCATGATATGGGGTTGTGTTTCCTTCGGCTGCAAACTTCCTCTGGTGACAATTCGTGGAAACTCAATGGCCAACAATACCAAGATGCCGTTCTTCGTCCAGTGGTAGTCCCTCATTTTGACAACCATCCACTTCAGACAAGACCTGTTTACATGGACGACAATGCTAGACCACACAGATCTCGGGCAGTTTTGGCTTATTTGCGTCAAGAAGCTATTGCCACTCTTCCTTGGCCGGCCTGTAGTCCGGATCTTAATCCGATTGACCATCTCTGGGACATTCTTGGCCGGAAAATCAGACATCGTGATCCCCCAGTTCAAACTCTCGCTGGACTTGAAGCCGCACTTCATGAAGAATGGATCCGTTTGCCCCAAAGAAGATTTCAACGACTTGTTGTGAGTATGAGGCGTAGGGTTGAAGCTGTGGTCAATGTCCGTGGATCATACACACCTTACTGACGTTTCTGTCTTGCAATAGACTCTGCACTCCCTAGGGTGTCTATGTAACACCTGATATGGTCTGCTGATATCATGACAGTTACATGACAAAAAAAGTTTTTCAATGTTTTCTAATCCTTCAATTTCTGGTCTTCGGTAAAATTCCTTTCTGCTCATATTCTTTTGGAACACAAGATAAACTTGCTTTGGGACAACTTTTGCATCACATGAGGTTTACATACACGGCTTATAACAATCGTACATCTCGTTATAATAGTCATCATTAAGTGCCAAAAGAAACAGCTCACAAATATGGTGGGTGGCGCTTAACTTTTGTGCATGTGTATAATTAAAATTAAACAGTGCTATTAAATGTGACAAAGTAGAGAAAATTTATGGATAACAGCCTTGCTTGACAACGGTATAAGGATCTATACCGAAACGTCGCCTTTACAGTAAATGAAGACTGTGTAAACTATAAATTGTCTCTACATTGTCATTCGTCAACTTCTATGTAATACCTATCAAATAATTCTATTCAATATGCTTTGGTGCTGATTCTCTATGATTAGACGGGGGCACGGGTGGCCCAGTCGTCTAAGGCGCCGCGATTCGCTGTGCAGAGTTGCGTCCCTTGGGCACCCCAGAAACCTATGATTGTGAGTCAATCTCGTTAAAATCAGACCTTAGTTCTCGCTACCACTAAACAAAGATCTGAAGACATCCCATTAGGGGTCACGTCAGAACGACCTTTCATCCGACCAATCTGAGTCGCTTACCAGATTATGAAAGTGACAGTCGGAATGTGATTTCTAATCATGCAATCTCGAAAACTTTAACATGGGGTATTCCGAACGATAGTTACGGGTTTAACGACTGAATCCTTACAATCCAGACCATCTATTAGCCATTCCAGAATGTTTTTTGTTCAGGTTTCAAATTTGAAATCGAGAATTTGTCAAAATATGTTTCGAAGCGTAGTCGCCAATTTGAAATTAGTGCTGTAAAGCACGAGAAAGCTGCTTTCTGATTGGTCATTCCATTGATGGGTTCCGTAATGGGATGTCCTCAGATCTGTGTTTAGCGCTAGCGAGAACTAAGATCTGGTTTTAATGAGATTGGACTGTGGGTTCGAATCCCGGTTCTCCCTGATTATGTTTCTAGGTTTGTCAGCACCATACCCGTGCTCGTGTGTTTCACCGAAGTGGTAAACGTCTGAGACCTCCATCACTTCGGGCTTTCCTCCCACATTAAGCTGACACTTCGCGATCTAACTGGAATACTGTTAAAAGCTTCGTTAAACCAAACTCACTCACTCACTATGATAAGGCAATGTGTGCAGAGACAAACAGTTTGATGGTCGTGCAGCCAAGATAAAAACAGCGGCGAGTGATTGACCACTATTTTGTGTAAAAGGAATAGGAAAATACCCGTTTTCACTTTGGGTAACATCACCGTACATACTCATTGTTTATTTTGTCGTGTATTGTATGAAGTAGGGAATACAAACTTGTGTTGGAGACTATTTTCCTGTCGCAGCTTCAAAACAAACTGCCTGACAAAAGAAAGTGTACACCCAATTTTGAAGGTTGATTAAAATACAACAAACAAGAAAAGGTTATTCGATGGTGATGTTTTATACGGGTATCACATTTGTGCTTTGAACGTTTGCAGGTTTTCAGAGAGTGTTTTAGCATGGTAACGTTTTGAAAACGTTTCTTACTATTTAATACAATTATATCAAAGAGTCTGTCCCATCATAAGGGTAGACTGTACCGTGCTTTTATTGATTTGATTTATCTGCTTCGATTAAGTTTAAGATTAAGAAGGGTCTGTTTATAATTGGAAATGTGAAAGGTAAAACGTTTTCTTTAATTAAGACAGACAGACAGTTTATTCAGTTATTTAGGCATCAAGGTCCATAGTACAATGCAGATTGGATATTAACATTTGACACGTGATGTACATGATTAGATTTTAAATCAAGTTAAACATTCCTCATTATAAAGACATGTTTTAAGAATACAGAAACAACATGGATCATATAAGGAATTTCAGAGTTTAGCAGATTTATCCTTAACTGACGGTCTTTAAAAATGCCTTGCAACATGGGGAGAAAGTTATACCTTAAATGGGAATACGTTTCACATATTAGTAAGACATGGTATTCATCTTCTACTTCTCCGGATGAACAGTTTGTACAAATAGAGTTCACAATATCACCGTCTTTGGACCTGCGACATACATTTACATTAAAATTGGGCAATGAAATTCTAAGTCTACAATAAGCTCTGATTAAACTTTTATCATTTAAAGAAGTGAAATATCTTTCAGTTTGTAACTATGATTTTACTTTGCTGTACTCGTATATATATTCGTATAAATATAAGAGATGAAGACATGTGTTTCTTTACCAGATGACAACGCAGTTTTTTAAAATGTTTATTCGGTGTTCGGCAGGGAAGTCAGTCGTCGCCATTGTTGTTTTCTTTTGTCTTTTGATAATCAGAGGTGTATTGAGATTTAATTGTTGGAATTATATATCTTTCTTTTTTCAGATGATATTATCATGTTCGATAGCTACCGTTAGAGGCTTACATAGAATTGATAAGTTCACTACGTATTGTGACAAATGGCAATAATATTAAGAAAAGGCGGTAGATTGAGGAAGTATGAAAAGTTCACTCTGAAAGAAAATCACATTGATATGGTATCTTGTTATAAATATTTATAGGAGTTCATTTCTTGCACGGGCTCTTGGTTTATCAGGCTACCGAGGTTTTGTCAATCGTAAGATCTAAAATATAGAATAATATTAAGCAACCTATTCATGCATCAGTTCATATATTTGATAGGAAGATCATCCCAATCCGATCCCGTTAGTCGCCTCTTACGACAAGCAAGGGCTGCTGAAGACCTATTCTATTACGGATCTTCACGGGTCTGATATATTTCTGAAGGATATTTTACATCTTCTCTCTCAAGCTGAACCAAAACGTTAATATTCTAAATTATTGGATGCTACTATTGTATCAACAGGTCAATATCATTGAAAGACATGTATATTTCTACCCGTTATAATTAACATTTTACAATAATTCTGAAAGAAGAAGCCAATCAATTATTAGACCCCAAAAACATTTTTAGTGTATCCAGTGAATACTTTTTGTTGTTATAAAACCCATAGCAAAATTAATGTCTCTTCATTTCATGAAAAAATAGCAGCTGAGTAAATAAAGGTACCGCAGAATGACCTGTTGAGTACGTACAGCGTACTGCCTACTCCAATGGGTTCGACATATGTAGTTGTTGACTGCCTACTCCAATGGGTTCGACATATGTAGTTGTTGACTGCCTACTGAGAAAACAAGGGCTCATCGTTCTCTTTGGCGAAGTGTACTCTCACAGAGCTTTCCCTTGGCATGAGGTTCCGTGTTTGACAGAATGAGTGAGAGAGTGAATATGGTTTTACGCCGCTTTTAGCAATATTCCAGCAATATCCCGGCTTCGGAAATCGAACCCTGGTCGAAAGAACTAACCACTAGGCTACCCGACCGTCATTGACAGAATGAGTGAGTAGAGTTTTATGACACTTTAAGCAATATCACGGCAGGGAGACAGCAGAATGGGCTTCACACAGACTTCGGGGGCACGGGTGACCCAGTCGTCTAAGGCGCAGCAATTCTCTGTGCAGAGTTGCGTCCCTTGGGCACGTTAAACACAACTAACTCACTGACTCACTGACTCACTGACTCACTCACTGACTCACTCACTCACTCACTCAATCAATCAATCAATCACTATATTTATGATGTCTAAAGACACTTAAATATTGTTGTCCATAACAATACATATTACATTCATTACAACCTGTCATACCCATGCTGTGTTCATTAATGTATGTGTGCCTGTGTTTCTGTGTGTCTGCCTGTGTGTCTGTTTGTGTGTCTGTGTCTATGCCTGTGTGTCTGTCTATGTGTCTGTCTATGTGTCTGCCTGTGTTTGCCTGTGTGTCTGTCTATGTGTCTGCCTGTGTGTCTTTTGTGTGTCTGTCGGTGTATCTGTGTCTGCCTGTGTGTCTGTCTGTCTATGTGTCTGCCTGTGTCTGTTGTGTGTCTGTGTGTCCGCCTGTCTGTCTGTCTGTCTGTGTGTCTGCCTGTGTTTCTGCCTGTGTGTCTGTCTGTGTGTCTGCCTGTGTTTCTGCCTGTGTCTGTCTGTATGCCTGTGTGTCTGTCTATGTGTCTGCCTGTGTGTCTGTTTGTGTGTCTGCGTCAGCCTGTATGTCTGTTTGTGTGTCTGTCTGTGTGTCATCCTGTGTGTCTGTTTGTGTGTCTGCCTTTGTGTCTGTTTGTCTGCCTGTGTTTCTGTGTGTCTGCCTGCGTGTCTGTTTGTGTGTCTGTGTCTATGCCTGTGTGTCTGTCTATGTGTCTGCCTGTGTTTGCCTGTGTGTCTGTCTATGTGTCTGCCTGTAAGTCTTTTGTGTGTCTGTCTGTGTATCTGTGTGTCTGCCTGTGTGTCTGTCTGTCTATGTGTCTGCCTGTGTCTGTTGTGTGTCTGTGTGTCCGCCTGTCTGTCTGTCTGCCTGTGTGTCTGCCTGTGTTTCTGCCTGTGTCTGTCTGTATGCCTGTGTGTCTGTCTATGTGTCTGCCTGTGTGTCTGTTTGTGTGTCTGCGTCAGCGTGTATGTCTGTTTGTGTGTCTGTCTGTGTGTCATCCTGTGTGTCTGTTTGTGTGTCTGTCTATGTGTCTGTCTATGTGTCTGCCTGTGTGTCTGTCTGTGTGTCTGTCTATCTGTCTATCTGTGTTCGCATGTCTGCATGTCGGTCAATATGTGTTCATATATTATGACTTGTTTCTTTTTCCACTTCCACTTCAGTGTACCGTCTTAATGAATGAGAGTAAACACAATGTGCATGTCTTGAAGATCAGTGTTGCGCTTGATCTGTAGAACAGCAATCTCACGTCACAGATTACAGAGCTGGTGACACAAATGATTATCTTTTGTTTTCAGAGTTAATAAAGATCAAGACCACCTTCTGAATACATTTACAAAACCAAAACATTCCTATTTTAGGCCTGCACTTATCTCGTCGTTCCAGAAATAGAGTGAGAAGGGGTGTAATGTGTTGTCTGGCGTAATGCTGCTGGCGTAGTTTGTCAATATCTATCTTGTGTAAACTCAACGTGCAGTGACGGTCCTTTCGTTTCTGTAATAAATATAGGCATACAAAACCCACACTATACGTTGTAACAGTATCACGAGGAGTATATTGTGTGCGTCACACGTTTGGTTTTATACTGGGGAATGAATGATGAAAGCCATAAAACTATGTAAAAAACAGAAAAATACTAGAAATATTTGAAATTCATTTAATTTCAAAGATCGAAACACAATCTTTACAAAACATAGTGGGGGTCCATGGAGCTTCAGTGATTAATTTTTACAAAGAAAAGACGACATTTGAATATATTCGTCGTTTACGAATTGATGAAAAGAATATGGCCAGCAACGCTTCAACCCCCCTTCCTCTTTTCCGCCCCCAGGATTCAACTTGGCTTCTGGTCGTCAAGGTGATCTCGCCTTGACTCCAAGAATGATGTCTTTGTCAGGGTGGACGACTGCATGTTCCCAATCAACACAAAACTGTAGTTCGGGTGTTTCCGGTATATTGAAGAATGTGAAGTGATGAAGCAGGAATGTGAGAGCGAGGCGTAGCTCCACCCACGCCATATGCTGACCAATACAAATGCGGGGTCCTGCTCCAAATGGAATCCAGAAATATGATTGGTTGTTGGTGGACGACTGGATCTTCAGGAATCTGTCTGGTTTGAAGTCTTTAGAATCTTTCCACATGAAGGAAGATCGGTGGATTCCCCACGTGAAGATTCTCAAGTCAGACTGGAAAGAGAAGAGCGATATCACGTTGAAAGAGAAGAGCGATGTCACGTTAATAAGTAATTGTTGCCTACGTGACACACTGGTCTCAACGCTTCAAATTGCAACATTTGAATTTTTAGTTTCAGTTAGATTACCTTTTGCAGAGAATACTTCAGTATCAGTGATGAGGACGTTTCAGTCCATTGAAGCCATTGACACTCAATTATCACATACTCAGTCATTGCCATAAATATGGCCTACATACAGAATACAAAGTGTTACCACAGTCAGCTTCTTGCTCCGTGTGCACGTACGGTCTGCATGAAAAACTGTTATTGGCCTACACGTGGCCTAAATACAGAATACAGTCAGAGTAGAGGTATAAAGTTGACAGATGACATCTGGTACAGCCTACACGTGGCATACATACAGAATACAGTCAGAGTAGAGGTATAAAGTTGACAGATGACATCTGGTACAGCCTACACGTGGCATACATACAGAATACAGTCAGAGTAGAGGTATAAAATTGACAGATGACATCAGCACAGTTACAGCCTACACGTGGCCTTCATACAGAATACAGTCATAGTACAGGTATAAAGTTAACAGATGACATCAGCACAGTTACAGCCTACACGTGGCCTACATACAGAATACAGTCATAGTAGAGGTATAAAGTTAACAGATGACATCAGCACAGGTACAGCCTACACGTGGCCTACATACAGAATACAGTCATAGTAGAGGTATAAAGTTAACAGATGACATCAGCACAGGTACAGCCTACACGTGGCCTACATACAGAATACAGTCATAGTAGAGGTATAAAGTTGACAGATGACATCAGCACAGGTACAGCCTACACGTGGCCTACATACAGAATACAGTCAGAGTAGAGTTACAACGTTGACAGATGACACCAGCACAGTTACAGCCTACACGTGGCCTACATACAGAATACAGTCAGAGTAGAGGTATAAAGTTGACAGATGACATCATCACAGGTACAGCCTACACGTGGCCTACATACAGAATACAGTCAGAGTAGAGGTACAACGTTGACAGATGACATCAGCACAGGTACAGCCTACATGTGGCCTACATGTACATACAGCATACAGCCTGAGTAGAGGTATAAAGTTGACAGATGACATCAGCACAGGTACAGCCTACACGTGGCCTACATACAGAATACAGTCAGAGTAGAAGTACAACGTTGACAGATGACACCAGCACAGTAACAGCCTACACGTGGCCTACATACAGAATACAGTCTGAGTAGAGGTATAAAGTTGACAGATGACATCAGGTACAGCCTACACGTGGCCTACATACAGAATACAGTCAGAGTAGAGGTATAAAATTGACAGATGACACCAGGTACAGCCTACACGTGGCCTACATACAGAATACAGTCAGAGTAGAGGTATAAAGTTGACAGATGACATCAGGTACAGCCTACACGTGGCCTACATACAGAATACACTCAGAGTAGAGGTATAAAGTTAACAGATGACATCAGCACAGGTCCAGCCTACACGTGGCCTACATACAGAATACAGTCAGAGTAGAGGTATAAAGTTAACAGATGACATCAGCACAGGTACAGCCTACGCGTGGCCTACATACAGAATACAGTCAGAGTAGAGGTTCAACGTTGACAGATGACATCAGCACAGTTACAGCCTACACGTGGCCTACATACAGAATACAGTCAGAGTAGAGGTATAAAGTTGACAGATGACATCGGCACAGGTCCCGCCTACACGTGGGCTTTACTTCTGTCTCTCTTATACGGACGTTTTCGATCATCGAACCTTACCTTGATTATTACTTAGAAATCGGGATTTACACGGTTATTGCCCTACATATGGCCTTCAAATATTGTTAGAAATCGACATAAAGAAGGGTTTCGATACAATAACAGTAACGTGTTGCTCTTCCACTTTGGTATTGGCGAACACAGCCTACCCCTGCTGGAACGTGGACGCCTCCCAGATGGAGTTCCGAGTCGGTGTGTCGACTTATGAAGGGGGCAATAGGGTAGACGCGGAGGACCTCCTTCATGGCACTCTCCAGCTTAGGTGGGACGGACCCAGGAGCTTTACGTAGGATCCCCACAAACTCATCAGCTTCCGTCTGCAGCTCCGCCTGAAACAGGAAGTAGCATACAGCGGCAGTCATGTTTGGTAGGTGAAAACATACACAATTCAACTGTCTACGCGCTCATCTGAATGTCTGGTGTAGCGACTCACCCGAATGTCTGGTCTGGTGCCTCACCTGAATGTCTGGATGCTGCTCACCTGGATATCTGGTCTGGTGACTCACATGAATGCCTGGTCTAGTTGCTCACCTGGATATCTGGTCTGGTGACTCACGTGAATGTCTGGTCTGGTGACTCACCTGAATGTCTGGTCTAGTGACTCACCTGAATGTCTGGTCTGGTGACTCACCTGAATGTCTGGTCTAGTGACTCACCTGAATGTCTGGTCTAGTGACTCACCTGAATGTCTGGTCTAGTGACTCACCTGAATGTCTGGTCTAGTGACTCACCTGAATGTCTGGTCTAGTGACTCACCTGAATGTCTGGTCTAGTGATTCACCTGAGTATCTGGGCTGGTGACTCACCTGAATGTCTGGTCTAGTTGCTTACCTGAATGTCTGGTCTAGTTGCTCACCTGAATGTCTGGTCTGGTGACTCACCTGAATGTCTGGTGACTCACCTGAATGTCTGGCCTGGTGACTCACCTGAATGTCTGGTCTGGTGACTCACCTGAATGTCTGGTCTGGTGACTCACCTGAATGTCTGGTCTGGTGACTCACCTGAATGTCTGGTCTGATGACACACCTGAATGTTTGGTCTATTGACTCACCTACATGTTTAGTCTGAATGTCTGGTCTGGTGACTCACCTGAATGTCTGGTCTAGTTGCTCACCTGAATGTCTGGTCTGGTGACTCACCTGGATATCTGGTCTAGTTGCTCACCTGGATATCTTGTCTGGTGACTCACCTGGATGTCTGGTCTGGTGACTCACATGAATGTCTGGTCTGGTGACTCACCTGAATGTCTGGTCTAGCGACTTACCTGAATGTCTGGTCTGGTGACTCACATGAATGTCTGGTCTGGTGACTCACCTGGATGTCTGGTCTAGCGACTCACCTGGATGTCTGGTCTGGTGACTCACCTGTATGTCTGGTCTGGTGACTCACCTGAATGCCTGGTCTGGTGACTCACCTGGGTGTCTGGTCTAGTTGCTCACCTGAATGTCTGGTCTAGTTGCTCACCTGAATGTCTGGTCTGGTGACTCACCTGAATGTCTGGTCTGGTGACTCACCTGAATGTCTGGTCTGGTGACTCACCTGAATGTCTGGTCTGGTGACTCACCTGAATGTTTGGTCTATTGACTCAGCTGAATGTTTAGTCTGATTACTCACCTGAATGTCTGGTCTTGTGACTCACCTGAATGTCTGGTCTAGTTGCTCACCTGAATGTCTGGTCTGGTGACTCACCTGGATATCTTGTCTAGTTGCTCACCTGGATATCTTGTCTGGTGACTCACCTGAATGTCTGGTCCAGTGACTCACCTGAATATGGTCTGGTGACTCACCTGGGTGTCTGGTCTAGTTGCTCACCTGAATGTCTGGTCTAGTTGCTCACCTGAATGTCTGGTCTGGTGACTCACCTGAATGTCTGGTCTGGTGACTCACCTGAATGTCTGGTCTGGTGACTCACCTGGATATCTGGTCTGGTGAATCACCTGAATGTTTGGTCTATTGACTCACCAGACCAAACATTCAGGTGATTCACCAGACCAGACATTCAGGTGAGTCACCAGACCAGACATTCAGGTGAGTTACCAGACCAGACATTCAGGTGAGTCACCAGACCAGACATTCAGGTGAGTCACCAGACCAGACATTCAGGTGAGCAACTAGACCAGACATTCAGGTGAGCAACTAGACCAGACACCCAGGTGAGTCACCAGACCATATTCAGGTGAGTCACTGGACCAGACATTCAGGTGAGTCACCAGACAAGATATCCAGGTGAGCAACTAGACAAGATATCCAGGTGAGTCACCAGACCAGACATTCAGGTGAGCAACTAGACCAGACATTCAGGTGAGTCACAAGACCAGACATTCAGGTGAGTAATCAGACTAAACATTCAGCTGAGTCAATAGACCAAACATTCAGGTGAGTCACCAGACCAGACATTCAGGTCTAGTTGCTCACCTGAATGTCTGGTCTGGTGACTCACCTGGATATCTTGTCTAGTTGCTCACCTGGATATCTTGTCTGGTGACTCACCTGAATGTCTGGTCCAGTGACTCACCTGAATATGGTCTGGTGACTCACCTGGGTGTCTGGTCTAGTTGCTCACCTGAATGTCTGGTCTAGTTGCTCACCTGAATGTCTGGTCTGGTGACTCACCTGAATGTCTGGTCTGGTGACTCACCTGAATGTCTGGTCTGGTGACTCACCTGAATGTCTGGTCTGGTGAATCACCTGAATGTTTGGTCTATTGACTCACTTGGATGTCTGTCCTAGTGACTCACCTGAATGTCTGGTCTAGTTGCTCACCTGAATGTCTGGTCTGGTGACTCACCTGAATGTCTGGTCTGGTGACTCACCTGAATGTCTGGTCTGTTGACTCACCTGAATGTTTGGTCTATTGACTCACCTGAATGTTTAGTCTGATTACTCCCCTGAATGTCTGGTCTAGCGACTCACCTGAATGTCTGGTCTAGCGACTTACCTGGATGTCTGGTCTAGCGACTCACCTGGATGTCTGGTCTAGCGACTCACCTGGATGTCTGGTCTGGTGACTCACCTGTATGTCTGGTCTGGTGACTCACCTGAATGCCTGGTCTGGTGACTCACCTGGGTGTCTGGTCTAGTTGCTCACCTGAATGTCTGGTCTAGTTGCTCACCTGAATGTCTGGTCTGGTGACTCACCTGAATGTCTGGTCTGGTGACTCACCTGAATGTCTGGTCTAGCGACTCACCTGGATGTCTGGTCTGGTGACTCACCTGGATGTCTGGTCTGGTGACTCACCTGGATGTCTGGTCTGGTGACTCACCTGGATGTCTGGTCTGGAGGCCAGGACATGTAACACTACAGGAATGGTGGCGGCCGTTGTCTCCGACCCTGCCATAAGGAACAGCTTTAAGTTATCCTTGGCCTGGAGAGACAAAACACATTCAATGAACGATGTTTTGCCTAATATAAGATGGTAAAACCATTCAGGCACGAATTTGATCATTTTTAATTAATACTGGAAAAAGTATATCAGTTTTGCTCATAATGTAAATGAAATTAATCGTATCTCTATATTCTAGTAGAATTATATAATTATGCACGAGTGGGAGAATAGGTTGGGTTTAACGTCGCTTTGAACAGTATTTCTATTAATAATAATGTTTTTTACCCTGAGTAGGGTATTTTAATGACTATGTACCTCATCAAAACCGCAGGCTGTGTGTAAAAGCTGTGGTAGGTTGACATCGACACCAGGCCTCGCATCGCCTGAAGAAAGGGCGTCCTCTAAAATGTTTGTTGTCAGTTTGTCAAAAACCTCACCAGCTTTCAGGAACTCTTCTGAGTCGTACGTTATTTCCCCCAGTGCGTAGGCTTTATGTAAGATTGTCATCATACATTCCAATATTTTGTCCCGTTTTCCGTCCAGAGCTTCAAGGTCGACGTCAATTAGAACGTGGCCCACGATGTCAAGGGCTAATTTCAATGTAACTTCGTTCACATTTATCATCGTATTTTTAGAAATAATTTGAATCATTTTCTCTATGTCTTTTATCATCAGCAATCCCTTTTCTTCCATGTTGGATTTTCTAAAGATGGCGGAGATTGATCGTCTGGTTTCTGGACTTTTGTTCGGCGAGCCGAGGAAGCTGTTTCCGAGGGGTGAGTTAGAAAGATAATTTTCTCCCCCTTTCTCCGACCTATTTATGACTGCTTGGCAATATTTGGCGTCGATTATGTAAATTTTGTCCTCATATCTGAAAAGTCCGTATGAAAAGAAATGTTCAAAAAGGAACTCCAATATCTTCAGTTTATTGTTCCCAAATATAGCCTTGAGTCCAAGGCCAAGGACATAGCAGGGTTCGGGTATTGTTGAACCTGGAGCCCTTATCTGAAACGATAAAAGATGGCCGTGGTATCAGTGGGGGAGTTAAGGAATAGCGACACGTAACGGATGTGTTTCCATCTAGCTGCCATCTATGGTCTGGGTGCCCTACATGAAAAGTGTGTAGTTCCTCCCACTGACAAGGAACAAATAACATAACCATTATATGTAAGCATCACTACATTAATTGTTTGATCAAAGAACTTGGTATAAGTAACATATCAAATAGTCCCACATATAAGGCCAGTATCTGCCCAAACCATGCATCAGCACTGTCAACTTTTGACTCTGTCCATTCCTGTCTTTGAAAGGCATTTAGAAGTGATACACATAAGGAAGAGAATATATGGATGTCAACTTCTTTATTATGAGGAACACAACGTTTCGGAGTATATGCTTACTCCTTCATCAGGTGAATGAATGCCATGAGGCAGAGAGCATATATGTGAAGAGGTAAGGATTACAAAAGGTTGAAAGTAGCAGAGGGTAGAAACTAACAAGGGAAAACTTTTGTTATCATATTATTTTGCTGTCCCTACTTGTGCATATACATGCTCTCTGTCTCGTGGCATCCATTCACCTGATGAAGGAGCAAGCATATACTCCGAAACGTTGTGTTCCTCATAATAAAGAAGTTGACATCCATAAATTCTCTTACTTAATAATTATAATAATAATTGATTTGTAAAGCGCCTAATATCCATCGACAGTTGCTCACTGGCGCTGTGACAAAGTTAAAAAGTAATGTCTATGTACATATGCCAACAATCAGGAGATCTATTGAAAAGCTGAGGTGAAGAAGTGGGTTTTGAGGAGAGACTTAAACGTTTCCTTAGAAGCAGAGCTTCTCAGATTCAAAGGCAAAGAGTTCCATAACTTTGGACTGCAAAAGGAGAAGGCACGGTCAGACATAGCAGAAGTAGACAGAGGCTGATACAGTAGAGTTCCACCAGAGGATCGGAGAGCACGCTCTGGAGAGTACAGGGATATAAGATCTTTGAGATAGTCTGGGTAGTCGCTATTGTTGAGGCAGTCGTGAGTGATGATACATATCATATAGTTTATACGAAAGGAGACTGGAAGCCAATGTAGTGCTTTGAGGACAGGACTGATGTGATTGGATCTTGGAACTTTAGAGGTGCATCTAGCTGCAGAGTTCTGAATGCGTTGTAGCTTCTGTCCATTCCTCTTTTGTACTGGATTCTAAATCTCCATAAAATCCGTACAGAGAGAGCCATATTGCTGGGTGCAGCAAATGTACCTTTAAATATAAAGATTAACCATAACCCTTAACACAATCAAGGAAGGGCTTTCTTTATATTCACAGAAATGGAATTAATACGATGTGGATTCTCAAAAACACATAGGATTTGAATGACTTTTTAGCAATCTCAGAAAAGAGTTCAAAACATTTGACTTTCAACTTTGTACGCCACATATCCTACATGGCAAACTTAAGGAAAAGCTTCATTCCTTGATCCATGGGGCTTAGATACAGTTACACATCTATGTTAAGAGGTTCAGGACAATTTGTCAAAAATGAAGGCAAATGCCGTCTGAAGTTTACTGAGAATACAATACGTGAAATGATGGATAATATCTATGTAACATTTGGGGTATGACATTTAGGCAAGAAGTAGGCACCCCCATGGGCACCATCTTCCCGAGGCAAGGGAGTTAACTGACTTTAAAAGTCCAGTTACCACCCTTGCCGAACTGGGCTGGAGTTACTAGGCTCGATCGTAGCGCCATCAGTGGCTATTACCAGTTATGTCCCTTCTAAGCCTCTCCAATCAGATGCCACCTCTCGTATCACTTGCGTTTGCTTCACACAAAATGGTGGCGCCCAAGTCAGGACGATCTGATCGATAATCAAGATCTATATTGTGATAAAACGGGTCTTACATCGCGAAATGCATCAAATCACGTGAGCACCTGGATTAAAAACATGAAAAGATTTGAAAAATATCTGCTGACAACGAGTTGGCGGTGCACATGCTTTGCCAATGCTGCAATCGATCGAAATCTGCTCGACAGTTTACGAACCGGATTTCGATTTCGGTGCGCGATTTTGATTGGACTATGCATAGGCTCGTTAGTCCAGCCAAAATGTAACTCAATAATACCAGCCTTGTTCGGCAAGGGTTGAAACTGGACTTTTATGGTCAGTTAACTCACTTGCCTCGGGAAGATGCATGGGCACCAGTTGGGCTTCTTTTTGCTGATCTCTTTCTTCATGAGTATGAATATGAATTTCTGCTCGGACTGGCAAAGTAAAAACAAGTAATTTGGCCAAGAAGTTTAATTTGAGCTTCGGGTATTTCGATGATCTGATATCGTTGAATCATCATTCTACCATGAATTTGGAATTTACTCGATTCTGATTGGTCAGTCAGAGGCTATTAAATCACAATAAACCCCCTCTGATTGAAACAGCTGGTTTGACGGCCGCATCACCGCGGAAGCTAATATTCATAGAATAGTACTATTTTCAGTCATTGTCGGCAGGCATATTTAAATAACTATATCTACAATTACAGGTTACAAAATGCACATATGGGGTTACTACAATATTCAAAGGATGTGTGGCATTACATTTCGTGCAGAAAAACACGACAGAAATCAACAAAGGGAATGTATTTACGTTTTGGAGACAACAGAGAGCTTGAAATTTTGGCGCTTCTATTTACGACTGTGACGTCATATATTTTGCGTCACAATGAGCGATATGACGTCATAATGGTGACGCGAGATGTAGAGCGAAAGCCTTGCAAAGCTTGCTTTGTTTTCTTTAGGGATGGCCACCTCATGTTAGCTTACCAAGTTGCCGTGCTTATATGCTTTCAATGCCTGTCATATGTTCGAGTGAAGTATTACGGAGAAAACAAACTGCTTGAGTATATACAGCACCATATTTTGTTCGGTGATTCCGTAATTCAGATCGATAACCCACTCAAAACACTGAACTCAACCCATGCCGCTTCACTCAGTATATTTGCTAACACCAAAGAGTTCGCGTTTTATTTAGTCATGGTAGAATGGAGATAAACATACTGTGTTTTCAATGTAGAGCTGCGCGTTCGGTTCCAAATTCAATTTAGCGGGGTTAAATCTACAGGTAACCTAGCTCTACATTGAAAACACAGTATGTTTATCTCCTAATTGAATAGCCAATTGCCTTCCATTGATTTACCCACCTGAACTAGAAATAAAGGAGGCCAGCGAGACCGCCTCATCTGTGTCATATTTAGATCTATGCATAAAGATTCAGAGTGACAAAAACTCTCCCCAAGAATGTATGACAAGAGGGATGAATTCAACTTTCCAATAGTCAACTTTTCCATTATGTCGACCATATTCCCCCACCACGCCATGAGAGAAATATGATATTTCACTCGACACATGGAATATCCTATTTATTATATACTTTTTGTGTAGTTGTCTACCAGAAAATTCAATCATTTCATTACAAATGTAAAATTCTCTCCACCTAACACGAATGGACGGTTCACCACCCTTGTATTTGCGACTTAAAAAGTAGTTTTGTGTTTGCAAAATCCTAATAAATATAAATAAAAGTATCAAAAAATATATTTAGGTTCACGAAAATTCTTTATCATACATTAAGATATGATTATATACAAAATCAGCTTTAACAAAAAATATTCTTGACAACTAGGAGACTGCTGTTGGAAGCGAAAGAATACACGCTGGTCAAGTAACAAAAATGGCGCTTTGCGAAACGAACAGTCTCGATTGACGAGTTAAAGGAGAAATTTACAGTTTATAAGGAAACATTTACGAGAGAATAACAAACGGCAAGAAGTGATATTAACTTCATAAAGGACCATCTGTCATTTGTTTGCCTTGTCAATGTGGAACTAACGTAATGTTTAAGGAACGTCAACAGTTTGTGTACGGGCTAGGCACTTACGACAAAGGGAGACAATTTAAGGGGAGGTAACTCTTGTATGGCAATAGTTCCGTCAAAGTGTTATGTTCACTGCAGTGGAATATCAAGTGTTATTACTTGCCCGTGAAGAGATCATGATCATCCGTTTAATAAACATACAGCTGTATTACACATTGTGTAATATCAAAACGCGTGCTTATGTACTCTCGGAACACGTTTCACGAACAAATATTGAAAGCTCTCAACATCCCTTGGCTTATTCAACGACATTGCGTGTGGAGATGATAGATCACTGAGAGGAGCTTATGCACACTCGATGACCCCCGCAACCTTGTTGCTAGGCTGACGTCACATGGATGGCATTGTTTCGCCGATGGATCTTGCAACAGAATTCCACAAATTACGTCATCGGGTATTGTGAGGTTATTGTAAACTTTGAGGTGCAAGGCCCCGTTCCACAAGGCATTCGTATTGTAACAGTCGTTAGTCTAAGTTGAAGAATGTGAATTGCGATAACCTCCGCGCTACGATGATTTTGTGGAACGGACGCTGAATTCTAAAGGTGGACCGTTGTATGGTATTAAATTCATACGTTTCAACTTTTGACGTGTTTGAAGTATTACTCAATTGGATTTTGCCGTGGATCGTGTAGGTGTCAGCCTATTCACCCTCAGCAGTATTTAAGTCGAAAAACGGTATTAATGGCAAGTAATAAATAAAATACTAAAGTCGCTCCCGTGTAAAACCAATTTTATGAAACTCGTGAATAGTTGTGGTATCTGACTCGCTTTCGCTCGTCAGATGCCAGAGCTATTCACTCATTTCATAAAATTGGTATTACACGGAAGCTCGTTTAGTATTCTATATTATGTTCACTGCAGTGACATATCAAGTGTTTTGTTCACTGCAGTGAAAATATCACTTTTCTCAACTTCGAAAAACTCAGTCTTTCACACTGAAGTATATAATAAATACTGAACCGCTGATGCCATCATAATAGGGCGGGAAAACGCATATATAACCTATGACACCTAGTTTATTCTTCAAATCGAGTAATGGTATCAGTATCACGTGTTCCAAATGAATTATATATGTTGAAAACCAAAGTGTAACGTGGGAACAAGCACCAGACTCATACAGCTGCTTAGATCTCAGGAGTATATCTGCCATTGTAGCAAAGTACAGTCCTTGCTTACACTTAAACATGGAAAGCAACATTTTGTTGTTATTAGCATGTGGTATTTACAAACTGGTAAGGGTATTCAGTAGAGCATAACAAATAAAAAGTGTTCCTGGTGTGCTTTCTGTGGTAATTCCAAAACGTGTACAATAGGGAACACTTATCATCATGATGTCAAGGTGAGATGAAATGGGGTTTACGTCGCGTCCACGATTATTGCACTTATATAGAGACGTGCATGCACGTGTGTGTTGCTGCTTGAACTAGTCCGGACTGATGCCGGATTATAGTGTTAGCCCAATGAGATACCATGCCGCAGTTTAACATGAATACCCTACTCAGACACAGAATAATGACCCTGAGCCGACCAGTCCTTAATGCCGAGCGCCAGACAGGTAACAACAAGTCCCATCTTTTAACGTCTTTTGGTATGACGCAGACGGGGATTGCACCCCGGACCTTCCGCTCTCCGGGCAGACGCTCTACCGCTAGACCACGGAGATGATCAGTGGTACAATGATATCTGTAGAAATGCAGCTTGCAATCAGTTTCGTGAATTTAACAAACCAGTTACACATTATTTACCATAGTTACGCCCGTGCGAGTATACATTGGAATCCAGTGGGATAATACCGTATTCGAAGTAATTGGCGCCCCGCTCTAATAAGCGCCCAGGGTAATATTGTCTGATATACTGGCTAGTGAACAATCCAAATTAGCACCCCTCCGATTGATCAATGTACACAAGACTTATTTATTCGTGTATAATACGCACTCGTGTGTTATATGCACCCTTAAGTATGAGCAATTAAATTTTGAAAAATATATCTGTCGTGTATAATACGCACAGACTTATATTTTTTATTATTTCAGGCTGTCAGCATAAACCACGAAATTTACGATCTTTCAACTCTGTTTTTTTTCTTACCAAAATTATATTCTAATCAGAGCCCCCTATTTCTAATTTTGAGAGCGCCCTGGGCGCTTATTACGTCGAATACGGTATACTGAATTAGGACTGAATTACATCTATGTCACATGACAATCGGGAGAACAATGGCGTGAATTAATTCAACAGGTTGTGTATTGGATAAAGTTAGTGCCTACCTTGTCTCGGAGTGATCTCCATGTCATCAACAGTACCGACAAGGCACGTGTGACTGCCTCCCCAAACCACATGGTCGTCAAAGGTGTAGAACAGGGATGATATCTAGAACACTGAAACTGCCCGGTCAACGGCAATGCTTTTGCGTTTTCGCGATACCGGACAATTGTCACACAATGAATACTGTGTGTATCTGCACCTGTTGTGACAGCCTCGAGCATTCGAGATGTGGATCAATTAATTCTATTTTTGTACGTATTGTTTGTGTCTTATATGAGGGGTTTTAAAGAAACAGCTTTTCGGGTGATATCCTAGTGATAAGGTATTACATAATGCCATCTTATACCTATCTTATCTGAAGTAAGTATCCTGAAAGGAACTTGGTGAATGGCCTGTGCCCTTGTTGTCAACGCACAGGTGTTCACGTAACCACGAGATTGCCTTATCACCTGTATGAACGTGACCTTTGTTTCAAGATTCTATCTTTATTTCTATTCTCATTGTGATAACGGCGTTGATGTCAAGAATACTCAAAGGATTGTTGGCTGCGTGGCACTGAATATGACATTCCTCATCAAAGGACCCGTGAAGATTCCAGGGTAGAATAGGTCTTCAGCAACCCATGCTTGCCCTAAAAGGCGACTATGCTTGTCGTAAAAGGCGACTAACGGGATCGGGTGGTCAGGCTCGTTGACTTGGTTGATGCACGTCATCAATCCCAATTGATTGATATTAATGACTGGATTGTCTGGTCCAGACTCGATTATTTACAGACCGCCGTCATATAGCTGGAATATTGCTGAGTACGGCGTTAAACAACAAACCAACCAACCAAAATCCTCATCAAAGTGTTAGCAGCTGTTACAAGATTTCTGAGTACTACTAAATAAACTTCACTTGGGTATTCATCACTTTTGAAAAAAAGATAGAAATTGACTTTGCTGTTAGAAAATAAACAAAAGACGCGGACTTGGAACCATTTGGACAGTAAAGAACAATACCAACCTAAATTAGCATGGGTCAGCACAGCAAGCAGAACCAGGTCGCTGTGACACGGACAGCTGTGCTGATATCATTTACCATACGTACACTGGTTCGGGGCTGGCGACAGGGAAGATCTAACATTATCTAGATTTATATCACTTTTGTTTGCTTTATTTATTATTGCTACAGGCACATGTTACAGAGTTTGGTTGTGAGCAGTGTGTTAATGCTACCATCACACCAAAGTAGTTCAATCCCGTTCTAAACAAAATACTAGAACGGGCTGTGATCACGGTAGAACGCGTAGTTTGGCATAAAATACTCGTCCCAAGTGCGTGTGTATTCGCGTCCTGGCCCGACTCCTATGGATACCGAGCGCGTTGTAGCCAGTCTTCATTCAAGTTCAGGGCTCCGAGCTGTACACCTCATGCCTCCAAAGAAAAGTCGACCCGGTCGGTGTGCAAACGTGCTGAATTTATGTCCGATTGCACCACTTCGTAACACGTCCCTAGTAGGTTCGAAGTACGGCAATTCCGTTAATAATATGTCTTTCTCGTTTTAAGTACGTTGTCAAGTTCTAGAGCACCCTCCCCGTCCGAGCCCGTCCATGAAGTTCGTAAAAAGACTGTCAATAGTTGCTACAACGTCCACCACGTTCATATACAGTTGGAGCCCGTTCGACAAAATATTTACGAACTAGTTTGGTGTCATGGGGGTATGATATCACACACACCTGAACGCAACCCTGGTTAAAGGGGAGTGTGGTGCTATTGTAGAAAATACCATCGGTAACATACATCAGGATCTTGTACTCTCTTAACACCATCGCAAAACATCATGTAAAAGCCACAACAGTAATCATACTTTCCAACAAAATCACATCTAAAAATGAGACATCAGCAAGTACATATAATAAAGTGGTATTAACATTTTTCGCCAGGAACTGAAAAATATCTCCTCGTTACCATGTTCAGCTCAACACGGGCCTGAGCCACGACATAGGCAACACAAGGCACGGTATAGGAGACATGGTATAGCAGACACTAGCCACAGCATAGGAGAACGAGACACGGACCTGTATAGGTATAGGCAACACGCTGATAAGGAAACCTGAGCCAGGGTTGGAGACACGAGAAACGAAATAGAAGGCATATCTATGCCAGTGGAGAGAGAGAGAGAGAGAGTTCCCCAAAATGAGCACAGACGTGGAGGTAAAATCATTTCCTTTTCGCTTATATTCTTAGTACGGAAGCCTTGTAGGGCCATTTGATTTTTCGTATTTTTGAAATTTCAAGATTTTATGTACTTCAGTTCAAGATACATAACTTGAAATTTCAAGACACATGACTTGAAATTCAGGATAATAAGTTGAAATGTACTTGGGGTTCGGAGCTATGGATATGGATCCCGTAACCAGCAGTGTTATTGATAGGATTAAGGATCCACTTTCTGGTGACTGAATTTCATCACAAAAAATGATAATGATAACCATAAGCGTAGCACTTTGGTATATTGCTGGATATGGTTTTACGTATGGAACAGTTTGATCAGTTTGGAATTACTCGCGGCCTTGCTGTGTCCATCGCTAAAACCTTGTGTTGGCAGATAATGAATGGCCACAACTAATATGACATTCCACGAGTTAAAGTATGGCATTTATGATATATGTGTCCATTCTCTGTCAACTAAAGCCCCATTCACATGGACACCTTTGTTTACGTGAGTAAATATACTCCAGGAGTAAAGAGACATGAGTAAAAGTATATTTGCTACACCTCATGAGGTCTAGTAAAAGTATATTTACTCATAAGTATAAATGCTCCTGGAGTATTTCTGGTCATGTGAACAGATTCTCTTTTTGCTTACGTAAGCATATTAAATCCAAGATACTGATAATCAGTAAAATTCGGCTGTAGTTCCTTACAAAGAACATAACATGTTCATAAAATGTTTCGCGTGTCATGCGAAAGTTATCGATCCACAGTTTATCATCAAATGATCGTTTGACGACATTGTTCCACCAGTGTTGAGAACGTTCTCTCTTCCACAGTTCTCTTTCCTGGCATAATCCTAAAACTAATCCCATACTAAGTAAGTATGGAAAGCCTCTCTTTCGCCTCTGGTTGACTATCTTCGACAGCGACATGGCCTCAAATGATAAAAGTCCACAATTTATTTATGAAATGATGTTTACTTCTGCCTTGCATAAACTTCATGTGAACGCAATGTAAATATACTTTTGCTTACTTGAGTAAATATACTCCATGAGTAAATTTGCTGACATGAGTAAATTTTGTCCATGTGAATGGGGCTTAACGTTCGTTTCAAGGAGTCAATAGTCGTCGGCGTCTTGGTGTGATCACAAACTATTTTGAATACTTTGGGGAATACGGGTTGCAGTTGTAAAATTATCTCTCTTATCTGTCTGTACCATCGTTTTACTGCTCTTAGTTTCCCGCAGTTCTCCAACCATCCTTGTCAAGCCTGTCCCACAATAAGCCTAGTCTATCATACAAATATATCCAATACAGCCTATACAAGTCTATAATGTTTGGCAAGTCTAGATTACTGCAGTATCAGTATCTGAAATTCAAGAAGTCTCTGAGATCCTTTATATTATATTTTATAACTATAATTTAACAACTGTTTTTTTCTGAAAATGATCATTTCAGAGACTAGATGTTAGTCTGACAATAAGCCATATGAATACTGTTAAGTGATGCGATGAGCGAAGGGAAGGTCCTCTGTCCAGATATGTTGTGCCCAGCTCATTATTGTGCTTTGCATGTTCAGAGAATGGGTAGCCTTGCTGTGACTTTAAACATTTTTTTAACAAAGCAGCAAAGGTGGACTACGTAAACAGCAAATTAATTTACTTTTATGTAATTTTAATTATTCAGTTTCATCCTACTTATTTTGGGGATAGTGTGAAAATAAATCAAAATTTGTTTTGAGCCAACATGGATGTCATAATATCCTTTGCAAGTCTGACTCATAATTCCCTCTACACCCGCTGATAGCTCTGGTCTTGGCTGGGGTACATTTTTCTATATTGAAATGTACCCGGGTTACCTATGTTATCTGTAAAACCCGTGACGGCAAACGACCCCAAATTAATGCGAGTGTAGACCGCTGGGCTAGGATGTGTCGTGAAATTAATGCGATTAGTCCTGCATTTAAACTGTAAAAACTTACAGCAAACGAAAACAATAAAGCAATAAACTTAGCATTCCATGATGTGGTATGGGTGATTGAAAACTTTTATATGCTATCTTCAAAAACTTAACTTCACTTGTTGATCTAAGTTCCATGAAGTCAATATAGCTGTCAGCATGTCCGTCCATCTGTCCGTCCATCCGTCCATCCGTCCGCCCGCCCGCCCGCCGTCCAGTTTCCGTTTCCGGAGCAGAACTCCTTAACCATTGAATATTTCTTGTTTAAACTTGCTATACATATCAGTCTGGTGATTAACTGGTGTCTTTTGATGATTTGGGATATTTTTTAATATTTTTGGTTTATTCTTGAACACAAGTTGGACTTATACTGAAAATGAGACCAGTGCTCGTTTCCGGAGCAGAACTCCAAAACCGTTGAATATTTCTAGATAAAACTTGCTCTACAGATCAGTCTAGTGTGAACTGGTGCCTTTTGATGATTTTGTATATTTCTATATCTTTTAATATGTTTTAGTTTTGATTTCATGACACGTTATACTAAAAATGAGGGTAGTGCTCGTTCCCGGAGCAGAACTCCAAAACCGTTGGGCTATTGCCAATCTATACTTCGTACTCAAGAGGCCACGGGCCTTTAGTACATAATACAATTCAATACAATTAATCATTACAATAGAACATCAAATTGAAATAAATTATCTCCTACTATCTGATTCTTAGTTCTAAATATAATGGACATCTGATAAGGAAGTGATACTCGTCTTCTATTTCATTTAAGTTACACATGTTACATTTTCTTTGTTCTCTTGGGGTATTTATATATCTGCCTGTTTCAATATGTAGATCATGCGACATGCAACGAAACCGTGCTAATGCTTTTCTATATTTTGCTATGCTAATATCAACGATATAGCATTCTCTATAAATGTAAGATTTAAAAAGTTTATAATAAAAGTGTTTATTAGATAATGCTAATGAAACATTCCATAATTGTAAATAAATATATTTTAGTCTTTGTTTCAGTGACTGGATAAACTCAGCAGTATTATTGACCCGTTGATCATACCAAACATTACCAAAACCAGATTCAAATAAGAGTTCTCTAACACCAGTTGTCCGGTTTCTTTTACCATTTGAATCAACAATAACATATTATAACACTTTTTTTAAATCTATACAAAGGCATATTTAAAATTCTTAACCAATATTTGATAACTTTAATATATGCAAAAATATACAGTGGATACGACCACAATCACCATAAACCACAACCCCGGGTGTACTAACTTTTACACCTAAATATTTCTTACATGCATACAAGTGAATCTTTTCTATAGCATCTACTTTTGAGAGTCCCCAAATCTCTGCACCATACAATAAAATTGGACTTATTTTTACATCAAAAATTTTGCAAAGTGTATCATAATCAAAGTTTAGACCACATGCATTTCGTTATATACCAATGAATACATTTTGAGCTTGTAAGGGTGTTTGGCTTACATGATATGTCCATGAAAGACGCTTAGTAAAATACACTCCTAAATATTTATAAAAACTTGCTATCTCCAATTGGTTATTTTATAGTAGTACCCTTTTTCATATTTTGCTATATTACCGCCGTTTTTAAATACAACAATTTTTGTTTTATTTCTATTCATTTTCAATTTCCATTCATCACGATACTTTTCTAACTCATTAATTTGTGACTGTAGACCTTTAATAGTACTTGAAAATAGTGCAACATCGTCTGCAAACAAAAGTAAAAACAATTGTATTTCTTCTGGGCGTAGTTGAATTCCATAGGAACAATTATTATATATTTGCATTGCAAATTCATTGATGAAAAACGAAAACAGGAACGGGCTTAAGATACAACCCTGTCGTTCTCCTAAAAGATTTGAAAATGTAGGAGAAATAACTTGGTTATTTCTAACACAGACTTTTATATTTTCATAAATGCTACATAACAATTTATTCATTTTAGAACTTAATCCATGAGTCCATGATTTCTTTGCACAGAGTCAAATACATTAGAAAAATCTACAAAAACTACATAAAACTTTCCACCCTTATTATTAAGGTATCTTTGTATTAAACAATGTAATATAAATATGTTGTCCACGGTACTATATCCTTCTCTAAATCCAGCTTGTGACTCATCAATATTGTTCATTGTACTAGCCCAATACACTAATCTTTTATTAATAATAAAAGTAAATATCTTGCCAAAATGCTCAAAAGAGTTATACCCCTATAATTATCCTGTCCTAACCTTTCCAAAATCAATAAAAAAATAACATATTTATCCCAGCTTATTTGCCATATGTTGCGGGAACGTATGATAAAAGTCAAAATCGGATTTCTCACCGACCTTAGCGTGTAGGGGTGTGATGTCCTGGGCAGGAAATGACAGTGTTTTGACTACTCTTCTTTCATTAATTAACGTGTTGGGCATCCCTAATTAACCTTTACTAATTCATGTTAAACCAACAGAGGATGTTTTCTGGAAGTGGATATTCTTCGAATGTCATAGGGCTGACAAGACACGTCTTAATAACTGTCCTAGCACTTCAAACTTACTAAACATTCTTTACACATAAAGACTAGTATTATATCCACCTATATATCACTTTAGTGTCTCATATTGCAGTAGTTAAAGAAAACACGGTGCTCAAAGGGAAGCCCTTTTCCCTATACATTCTCAACGTTCCTTATTAGAAGTGATTGGTCTGTGCCCCGCTCGACTTGTCCCGGGCTGTCAAAATCAACTTTAAACTCACAGATGTATGATCAAATATGTTTACATCTATGGATAAGTAATATATCTACCTAGAACTTTATAATGCCACATAACACCGCATTTAAAGGAAATGGGTCTGTTAAAGTCAAGCACTTTTACTGTATTTTCTCATGAAATTCTGTCACGTGTTTGCCCCGACTCGGCCCGGGCTGTCAAAATCAACTTAAACCTCATATATGTATCATGCCATGGATTCAGATCTACAGATTAGTATTATATCTACCCAGATACCACTTCA